CAAAGAGGGAAGAGACTTACAAAATATAGAACTGGAAAGGAGTGCTGTATTGGATCTATCACAGCAGTTATACTGGGGAAGTTAAACAGATCATATTACCAACAGAATACCTGACTCAAGTGATGAAGTTGATTGAAAAGCAAGGAAGATGGAAAATAGAATCACCAGGAAATTCCATTGGTCAGGGGTAATCGGAGATATGACTAGATTCTTCAGATCATGTGACATCTGCCAAAGGACAATACCTAGGGGGAAGGTGCCACTGGGTGAAATGCCTCTCATAGTAGAACCATTCAGAAAAGTAGCTGTGGAATTTTTGTCATTTAACATCATGTTACTCGAACATTCTAAATTTTTCTCGTTGCTTTAATTGAATATTGTGGGTCTATTAGTGGGGGAAATATTCGAGAATGCTGTCGTGTATATATATATATATATGCATCAAAAAATTTAGTTAGATATAGTAAGATTGATAGATCTAGATTATGTGATTGTGAGTTTAGCCATAAAAAGCATATAGTGTTTATTTTTTAAATGAATTATCACAGCTTGTATTGTAACAACACAGTAGAGAATAATAATTTGTCTTATCAATTGTGTTCTAAAGTAATTGAACCAGTCTGTGTGGACTTGGACAAAAAAAAAAGAAGACAATTATTTAAAGCTCTGGATACAACTGTGATAACCAACAGTATAATGAATATTTGTATATATATATATATATAAATATATATGTATATATGTTTGACTTGTTTTAATATATCATTTGAAAACAAGTAGACTGTTTTTATAAGTGCAAAGCTACGCAGTGGGTTATCTGGACTCTGCCAATCACGGGTATTGAAACCTGATTTTTAGCATCATAAGCCTGTTGCCTAACATAGCCTATGTCAAGTTTTGTATAGGGCTGGATTCTTTACAGTAGATATCTGTGACTTATTGATGATAAATTTCAACAATAAACAAACAGCAGCTTCTAGTAAGCATCATTCCAGAGAGCAGGCCAATGTTAGATGGTTGTTTGTAAGTTTTTGATATTCATATACAAAATTTTTTATAACTTCTTATAATCATCCCTATGACAATTTTTTCTAGATATATTTTCTCCACAACTATTTAACTTGGTAGAAAGGTGATCATTATCCAACCATTTATAAAATAAATATATAATTATCTGATAATCTAAATATTTTATACCTTAAAATTGGATCCTAAAATTAATTCATATTCTATTAATGTACTCTCATTAATGTTAAACTTATTTTCTGGCTTTATACAAATATTAACATTGCTGAAAAGATAGAACTTTGATGGTTAATCTCTAATCATTGTATAAGAAAGAGTGGTAGCTACTCTGAAAGAAAAAGCAAGAGACTTCCTTTTGTCAATGTTATGGATGTTATACACAGCTGTATTAATTACTCTGTAGCTGTTGCTTTGGATGCTCAGTAGTTTCATGCCAATTTTAACAGATGCTTAATTGCACTTATAGAGTCTTCCTATAAAAAAACCAACAAGAATGTTATAGCCCTTATTTATATAATCTGTAGCTATTCAATAATAAATCTATAACCATTCCCCAGCACTTCTTTACATAGGTTGTCTGTATATAATCTCTAACTATTCTGTGGGAAAGCTAAAAGTCATCTCTGTATAATTTATAACTATTCTGTTTGAAAGCTAAAACTCAACTTTAAATAGTTTATAACCATTTTATGGGAAAGCTGAAAACCATCTCTACATAGTTTATAACTATCTTGTTAAAAGCTAAAACTCAGCTATCCACAATTTGTAGCTATTTTATGAAAAGCTATGACTCATCTTTACATAATTAGTTTATTCCTATTCTGTTTGGTTTCATTGCTTCCTGTGTTATTGTAGTGTCTGTGTTAGATAGAACAAAAGCTCTTTGACAGCCTGATGCACAAGTACAAAATAAATAGTTCTTGTAGCACAATGTGTACATTTATTTCATAGTTTTGTATTCTTCTGTACTCTTAATTAAACATCTGTGTCCATGAGCCTTTTCTTCATTAAATACAAATTGTTTTACTTTTGTGAATACTCATACTCTGTATTATGTTAAATTTTTATTATACTTTCACAGGTGGGATTTCTGAAAGCCATATGTTTGCCTTGTTATGAGAATAAAACCTTTGAACACCAACTGCAGGATGATGGTTATAAAAAATGAAATATAGTGATGCAAAACTACTGAATATGTTATAATTTTATATTAGTATACTTTCTCATTTGGCATGTATTTCCTCAATCAATGCACCAAATTTTATAGCTATTGCAGCAGAAATTTCACTTTTTGAAAACTAGCAGCAAATTAACAGCATGCAACTGTACTGAACTACTACTGACACATGGCTTATTTAGGCCTACATGTGTTACTTGTGTTAAGAATAACCACCAAACCCCCTTCCCAGAACATTCCTAGTGACTTACAATATTGTATAGCCCACAAAGAAACTTCTTATGTTTGATTCCTGTGAATCAGGCTGAGAGTGAAGGTTTGTTTTCTTTAACATACTCACTATTATGAAAGAAAAGAAGAACGTTGTATAATCATGTATTCTTTTGTTTATGGAACAGGCTGCTTATATCGCTATGTTTTCTCACAAACAGGCACAAGTATTGCACAGAAAGAAACTTCTAGACCCTCAAGTTTTATTTCTGTGGGTCAGACTAGAAGTGAAGTATGTTTTCTTCTCTAGTTCTTACATAAGTATTAATAAAATACAGGAGGGAATTAATAGGCTGATGTGTTTTGTTCCTGTAAAAATCAGGCTATTTATAGTGTATAGTTCTTTCAGACATAGATATTAGTGTAATACATTCAGAAATTACTGGGATTAGATATTAGGTAACAGAAAAAGAAACTATTAGATCAACGTGTTTTGTTCCTGTAGGTCAATTTGCTAGTGAGGTTTTCTTCTCTCAGACTTAGAGATCAGTATAATAAAGGAATAAACTACTAGACCATTGAGTTTGTACCTGTGAAGCAGGCTGTTCATGAAGTTTTGTTCTGTCCATCATAGGCACCGGATCTCTTCCCTGTGCCCTCTCAGCATCACCCTAAAAAAATTATAACCGTTAGTCCATTATTAGGCAAGTTACACTGAAGTGATATGTAGTCTATCAAACAATGATTGTTGTTGAAAAAGTACTGAAATGCTATGTACAAAGTTTTATAGCATAAAATATATGAGTTTGGTTATAATTTTATGGGAAACCTTAATTTTTCATGATTGGACTTTTTTGTTATAAGTCACCTTAACAATATTGTCAAAAGATAAAATTTGATAACAAGAATGTGAATTATAAAAATAATTTAAAAAAGCCTTTACAAAATATTTTACTAATGTTAATATTTAGAGCTGAGGTTTTTAAATAAAAGCGAACTTTGTGAAGTTTTGCAAAGTTATTTTAGGTTCACTACATGCTATTATCATCTGTAATATGCTGTTTAGGTTTTGATATTATTCTTGTGAAAGTTGTTTTTTTTCACAGGATTTAGTAATACACATTATGATAGAACCTGAATATTCAGGACCTTGTCAACATATATTTTTTATTTGTCTTGTTTATTTGTAGTTAAGCACAAAGCTACACATTGGGCTGTCTGTGCTGTGACAACCACAGGTATCTAAAGCAAATTTTTAGTATTATAAGCTTTCAGACTTACCGTTGTGCCACTAGGAGAGCATTTTATTTGTCAATTTGATAAAAAACAATGTTAGTCTAAACAAATAACTTTGCCTTTTTTGTAAGGATATTTACTGTTATATTTTATTTGTGCTACATAGCCTAAAAAAGTGCTAACCAGGCTCTACCGAATTAATGGAAAATTAATAATAATTAATTATTAGAGTATTATATTCTTACAGTGGAATATGATGTAGATTGTTTTTTTTTTCTATTTAGTAAATATAGTCACTTTAGTATTACCTGTTCATAGAATTCTTCAAAGATCACCTTTACTGTACTTTCTTGCTGTTCCCAGGGTTTTGTACTAGCACAAAGATCACAGGCAGTCATAGCAATAGCCTCAAGAAGAAGTCTAAAAAACGATTTTTTAAGAGAATTAAAAAATTCTCATTAATAGGGCACAAACATTGCAATTAGTCATAGCAACTTCTCTTAATAAAAGTCTAAAAGAATTATATTCTTTTGGAAAACAGATTACAGACACTTTCAGAAGAATTTTCTGAAACAAGGTTAAAGAGCATTGAGTTGCATTACTGATGATAATTCTTGTATTGGGATCAAAACCTCTGTACTTTAAACATATTATAAATGAGTAATAACCTCATATACTATCTGAAGATAACAATTGTTGCATAATTACGTTAGATCTCTGTCTCAAAGTTTGCCTATTTGCTTTTATAACTAATATGTTATTTTAGCTGTCTTGTGTTCTTTTAATGGACTGACCCATATTAAAGAAGTAATGGTGACTATAATTCCAAACTTATGAAATGTATTTTCACAAAATGTGGTAAGCTTTTATTAATCAGTACAAGACTGTTGTACACAAAAATAAGATGTGAGAATAAATGTTTTATATGTAAGATATATCTAATAAATGACAAAGTTGGTCTAACTCAAACTCTGACAATTTGAAGTGGAAATTGATATTCATGTGAAGAATAAAAACAGTCATGTTCATCATACAGTTTGAAAATTGCATTTAAGTAACCTCTACAAATTGTTAAAGGTATATCTAAAGTTTTCTTCGATATCCCTGTGTATTCTATCTGGTATTTTCTTTACACTAACAAGAAATTTTGTGAAATCAGCAATGTAGGGTAACATGAAAAGTTGATAACTCTGACATCGAATTAAAAATCCCATGTTGAATGGCACTCTCTACAAATTTGGGGAATGCACACTTTGATCCTTATCCATACAATTAGGATTAACTGGCAGCAAAGTTTTAAATAGAACTTGTACTCAATTCTTTATGAGAGGTGTACTCCTAGTTACAGATGCATATATAATATTATACATAAAAAATTGTAACTTAAGGAGGACTCACCTGTGTTCAGGATGTTTCCAGTCAAATCTACCATCATCTATTATTTCTTTTAGTTTAGCTTTGTTTGGAAAAAATAATGCCAAATCTGTTGCTAAGATACAGTGCTTGATATTTCCTAAGACCTTAAAATAAACGAATTGGCAACAAGTTAATAGGTTTAAATGAAAACAGCCAAACAAATAATTCATTCATGATAAAGAATATATGATCCTTGGAGCACTATAGATAACTAATGTTTCAATATAATCATGCAACTTACTATAATCTAACTAAACTACAAACTCAAAGATGATACAAATCAGACATAAAGAAAACCAATGTGATATGGGCTGCATACTTTGAAAATAAACAAACTGTAAAATATAAGAAATTAAAAACCAATAGATATAATGTAATTTAATACTTTTAATTTGAGACATTTAAAAATAGTTAAAAACTTGAAAAAGTTGATAACAGTAGCTTATATAGTCAATTTGAAAATGAAGAAATATGAAAGGGAACAGGTACCATTATTGAAAGATTTCAAAGACCATAAAAGTAACATTTCTTTAAACAAGATTTCAATAGAAAACTGTTTAGTTACCAGAATATCAGTAGTGTATAAAAAGTTATTTACATGAGTGATCTATGTTAAGTTTGGACACTTTTCACAAATCAAAACTTCATATTTTAGATATTAAATATTCAATTTAAACCATTTTTCAGTATAGGTTATTCAATTTTAAGATTGAAAAATGCTTATTCAGTTCTTCATTCATACAGTCATGGCACTACAGTTTTTGTGCTGGGCCCTCGATCAAAATATCCAAGATTTGAACAACTATGTGCTCTTTAACATGCTCCACACTTTCAGCTATAGGTAATCTTAACTGTGGTGATTAAGTCCACTAATTGATTAAGAGTAGTTACACATGTGGTAAGTGCTGGTGACTAGTTGCATTCCTATTAGTCAGCAGTTTTATATTAGGGATGACTGATCTGGTCAATAAACCCAAGTGTTGTGTAAGCACTGTTTATATTGAAATCACCAATAGTACAATTTATGTAGAAGTTATTTTCATACTCAGAAAGTACTTTGTTTTCCAGTCTTAATAACACAATGTAAAGTAAAGATGTTATATAAATGTTTATCTATTTTTATTAACACTGGGCAACAAAACATCTTTTTTTTAATCTGTTACCAGGAAAAAATGCAACTGTTTCTGAGTAATTTGATGATGCTGATTTTAAACATCATGTTGGAAATTACTGATCACCTCTAGTTTTCGAGTTATGATAGCTTTGTTCAAAATATTCTTATATATATTGTGAAAATAACATAACCTAATATTTTGGGACAACATATGATCTATTGGTCCATTTCAGCTGTTCCATCCTCAAAACTAAATTAAAATGATTTAAAAAATTTTTTAAGCCCAGCCCTTTTCATTCATATACTTATCAAGCTTTTTCTTAAAATTCACTTAAAGTTTCTGCCTCTACAGCATCTGAAGGCAACCCATTCCAAAGGCCAACCACCCTGTTAGAAAAATAAAACGGTCTTAGCTGAAGATGACTCCTACCTTGCCAAAATTCATATTTGTGTCCCCTAGTCCTACTATTCTCATTGAAAGATTCACACTCAATATTCTGTTTCTCTGATATGTAATTCTCTCTCACTGGTCATTCCTTCTTTTTGAAATGGTTCTTATAATCTCAGCTGTGCTGGAGACACAAAAAGGAAGAATAATGTTTGGTATACCCACTCTGCAGGCCTAGAAAGAATGCAATAACTTTCAGATCACCACATATGTTCCACCTATGGTGACCATATTTGATGGCCTCAAGTATAATCTGCATACTTTGATAAGTTTCTTTCATGTTCACAACATGAGCAACAGAATTTATGGCTTAGTGTTCCCATTGTGCAAAAGTACAGCTTTCAGACTAGCTTTAGATGAATCGATAAAAAGTCTCCATTCTTGAGGATTATGTTAAGTACCTAATTCTTTCATTAATGCATCAACATTTGTACAGAAACACAAAGTAATTTCCATGCTGTAGTGAGAGGCAAGATTTTGATGGCAACTTTGGTAAATTAAAACTCTTGTTCCCAGAGCTAATAAATTCCATTGCTGTAAACAAGAGCCAAGAAGTTCCCCATACTGCCCTGACAAGTCACAAATCAGATTACTCAGCTCTTTTTGTCTGATCAGATGAGGCAGTTTGTGTTGAGGTGCCACAGGAATAGAATTACTAGACGAAGACGATGAAGATGATTCGTTGTCTTTTTCGTAGGATAACTCTTCTGTTTTCCAATTCACTAATGGATGTGGCACTGGAAGACCATCCCCATGAGGTACTGGTTTTATTACAGATTCAATATCTGGATATTTAATGTATTGTTTAGTTTTGCCTGAATATCCATTAACATTAGTCATGCAAAAATAACAGTCAGTTAGATGATCTTTAGGCTCACGCCATATCACGGGAACTACAAATGGCATACTTGCTCTCTTCTTATTCAACCACTGTGTCAAGACAGATGTGCAAACTGTACAACACACATGTGGACCCCAATGTTTTTCTTGGTCACCGATTTTACACCCAAAATTGTGGTACTAAACTACCTTCACCTTGTGTGTGATATTTTGTCTTCATGAAACTGTAATATATTTCCCACAAATGTAACAAAAGTTGTTTGGGTGATTTTTGCACTTTTTGGACTTTACTTGAAATGGAGACAGCCAGTACTTCAAATGATTTTCTAACAAATAGAGTTTAAATGATTATAAAAAATAAAGTTTTGCAGAATTTGATTATATTATGGGTATGATGCAAGGAAGCAGATTAGACTTAGTTTTGACTGTGTGCAGAGTGAGGCGAAGTGACCAAGTGAGTGAGAGGCAACTGAGAGAGAGATGTCTGACTCTGCCTCTTTTATGCTCAGTCGAGGGACTTCACAAATGTTCTAGCAAACTGAGCGCATGAGGGTTTCGTGATCCCTGGGCAGAGTAGTTGAGCATGGGAGTGAAGAAAATGTGGTGCAATTCACTACATTTAAAACGAGAACAATATATTTGGAATTTTACACCAACACAATACAGTCAACCTTTGAAGTTATCAAAAATGTATGCCTTATACCCATTAAACTATCCAAGTAATCTATTGCATGGAGTTGATAGCATGGTATTTCACATAGTGATGTGAAAATATTGAGATATTACAATAACTCAAAATCTAGAGGTAAAGGAGAAATTCTGACTACACTTTTGAAATCAGCACCATCAAATTACCCTGAATCGTTTGAGTTTTCTTCAGTAGCAAATGTTTTGTTGTCCAGTGTAACTGGAAAAATAAATGGGGAAGGTACTTACTTGTTTATATTCATCTGAAGTTAAGTTCTTGAAAATGTTGTGTCCATCTTGCTATAAATGAAATAAACCACAAGCACATAAAAGTATATATAAAGACACTTGTATACATGCAAACACTTACACAGGTGTTTATAGATTGATATGGTTTGGTTCAAATGGTAATATTGAATAATTAACTGTCATCTGGATTACTTAAAAATAACAAAGTCTGAATTAGTATATTAACGTCTCCCAGTAGGTTAGAGGTAGGTAAGTTTATGGACTTACAATCTTAACATATGGGGTTCGATTCTCCAAGGTGGACACAGCAGATAGCCCAATGTGGCTTTGCTCTCAAACATACAAAGTAATATAAAATATTTAACCTGACTCTGAATTAATTAAACAATAGATATAATCTGGTTAAGATGGTGATATAAGATAATCAAGGACTTACTCTAGATTACATGAAGGATGACACTGTCTGGTTAAAATTATGATATAAAATACTTATGCACATTCTAGAATACCTGAAGGATAGACACAGTCTGGTTAAAATGGTGATGTTCTAATGTGGAGGTAGTGTAGATGGCAGCTAGAGGAGATGCTGATTTCACCAGAAACTGATTAGTCTTCCCTCTATGGTCTAAGTCATGACACAAACATGCTACAAAAAGTGACAATTCCTGCAGAAATCAAGATATTCCCTGTATTAGCATAACACAATATTTTGTAATTTTACAATCATAATTTTATCCCTACAAACTGTAAGCCCATTTCATTCTTCATACTATGAATTAAGTATATATATATATATATATATATGTAATCAGCAGTTTAAGCTTACAATTTCAAATAGTATTTTGAAAATGTTTCAAAAGATTATAATAACATTGCAATTGTGATTTATGATGTAATAGATTTTTTCTATGGTTCTAATAACCTAGATGAAAAAAAAGAAGTTTGAAAATTTTGGCAATGCTACATCTCGTAAATTTCTTTGTTTCAATGAAAGAATAAGAAAAGCATTTCTGTTACTAAATTACAGCAATTTTTACCAATAACTAAAATGTGGCTCATTGCAGTAGTAGCATTTTTCTTTATGCTTAAAACAACTTTAAAAACACAAGTGCAGGTACAATTTGAAAAAGTAAAACCATGGGCTAACCTCTAAAGGCTTGAAAGTTCCCCGTGATTTTTTAATGATAACATACATAGCATTAGCTACACTAAATCCATGAGCCCAATTATGATATGGAACACGACGATAGTTCTTCCGTATTGTTATGGTGAAACGAACAAGACTGTCTTGGTCAAACCTAAGAAAATAACGCATTGTACAAACCTATTAGTAATATAGCAATATTTGATTAAGTTAAACCAACATGAGTGTGCATGGTCAAATTTATGAATCTAATAACTTATGTAAACAGACAAATAATAACATTTTATTATTTGGTTAGGTTTAAATGAACGTAAGTTTCCTTGATAAATCTATTAATCCATGACAACATTTTAACGTTTGAAGTCCAAAGACTATGAAAATGAAAGTTGCCTACTTTTGAAGTCCAAACAATTCTACAAACATATGAATTGCTGCTAAGACTTTTTGATCATAATCCAATGAGTATGGAGAAAATCTGAAACTGATAAAAGCAATTGTGAATCATCAATAATATAAAATACCAATAAATATGATTTGCACCAAAAATTTTATTACTGTATGTTTGCAATGCCCAAAAACATTAATTCTATTGGCAGTAAATAGGGTTTAAACTCTGCTTTCATTTACTTTTCATGTAACTTTAATATTTATGATTTGGCTCAATTAAAACTTTTTTTTTAACTTTTATGGTGTTGTAATCTCAATATTAACAAATCTGTTTTGTACAGTCTGTTAAACATTTTACTAATCATAATACAGTGGGTGAATAATATAGATTGTACATATTGTTTTAGAAATAATATTTCTGGGGCTAACTATTTTTTATGTTACAGTGAAACAAATAAAACTTGTGAGATAGCAAATTCTACTTCTATTATGTTATGGTTTTGTTTACCATTCATTTATTATTCCTTCTATAATTTAGTTTAACTATGAGTTTTTAGTTATATTAAAGCACTAACTCACCTTATAGGTACAGCATGTTGAATTTGAGTATGTTTGTATTATGAAACTGGTGATACAAGCTTCCCCTAGTGGTGTTGTACAGATATTAATGTGGTGAAAGATTATGTAAATTAGTTAGTCACATGAGATGTAACCTCGTGATTTAACCACTAAATAAAAACCATGCCTTGATCTTAAATGATATAGTTCATGAGATAGAGTTAGAACAAATTATTGTTGATTATTGCTTGATTTTGTTATTGATCTTGAAGTGGTTTAATGTTGGAATATTGTGTTGTTTCAGAATTTGGTGTGTTTTTCTTCTAGTTCTTTTCCCTAATTCCTTTATTTATTGAAATTAATAACATTGGTATTTATGTTGTATGGTTTAATTAATTAATAAGTTATTAACGTTTGTATCACGTCTTGACCAGGCATGTTTTTTTATAAGTGATAAAATTTGTATTCCAATTGTTTGAAAGTTATATTTTGGATTTCTGTTGTTGTTACAGTTTTATAAATTGTTTTTTGTTCGACCCTGGTTGTAGCAGCATTTTATTTTAGTTCATTACAACTTCATTCTCAAAAGAAGAAAGACAACAATGACAATATTAGGAAATACAAAGTAATAAAAACATACAAAAGAGCATACATACAGGCATACAGACTTGTTAAAACTATACTATACAATAATTGTAATCCAAACATTGTGATTGTATAATACAAATACACATTTCAAAATAATGATATAGATTAATGTTTGGATAAAAATTGCCCACAATGTTTTTTATCAGATACTTCAAATCATGAAAAGGAGCATTTTCAGGTGGTAAGGACTTTGCATCTTTAAAGCAAAAGGTTGTTTTCTTTTGAAAAAAAATTTTTTGTTCATTTATCTTATCCCCATTGAAAAGATTTATTGTTAAAAACATTTGATTACCCGATAAAACAGATTGTTTGAGTAGCACATTCTGGCTACACTTACTATTTATATCTTCTTTTCCAGAAATCAAAAACAAAGTATTAATTACAAAAGTTTTACTCTGTTTAATTCTTAGTTAATTATTGCTTCTGTGTCTAATTAAATTGTAAAGAAGTGAACCAGAGATTTAGTTGCCCAACTTACTCATGCAAAGCAGCTGTATTTGGTAAGGCAGGGGACTGCTTAATCTCATTTACTTCCGTCTCTGTACATGTGTTATGGTATGAGAGGACTTCTAGTGCCACCTTGTATTTCTTTTCAGACCGTTGAATTTTATCATATAACTGCAAGAAAAAATGTTTGTTTTTCTTTACTTTAATAATCACACACAGTTTAATGGGTTAAAATAATTAAACACCAACTGTAATTTTCTTGAATGTTTTTTAACAAAGCTTTTATGGTATTGGATATTCAGAGAATGACTGCATTCAGCTAAACTGACGAATTCTTAAAATATAGGACTTTTTTCAAGAGTTCACCATTTTAAAGTTTCTTTTAATTCCTTGCACTTTTGATCAGTTACAGGGTACAGACTTACAGTGGTTAAGACTGAACTGTCACATTAGTTCTGTGATTGCTCATCTGTTTCCATTAAAATAGTTGTTAAATTAGCTTTGAATATGAGCATAATATTTTTAAATCCTTACTACTGCCTATAACAACCAGGACCTAACTTCAGTCTTCATTTATTGGAAAAAAAAGGTTTTTTGATTGAATTTATAACAAAAATAAATTTATGGTCTATAGCTCTTATGATGGCAAAACATGATCTATTAATTGGTAGATGGTGAGATAAAATATTACAGCACAATAAAACTGATAATAATTTTAATCATACCTTTCTTTATTTGCCCTATATATACAGGTTTTCAATAAGAAAAGTATTTAATAGCACTTCAACTGTTTGCTTTTGCATGTTCCCAATAAGGTCTTTTTACTCAGTACCAAAGCTTAGGTTGTCTGAGTTTACAACACTCATCTTATGGAATCTATAACTCAGGAAGCAAGATAAGTATTGGTATAATGAAATACAATATAATGCTTCTCTACTGCTTTGACATCACTGGCACAGCAAGTTTTGCTGACTAGTTTCATTCTCATCAAAGTTCTTCTACCCTCAAGTTAATCTTTATTTTTCATTTTGTTCAATCTATAATTTTCTCTTCTTATTACTACTTATTTTCTCCCTACCCCTAAGTTTTGCTATCTAGGTAAATGCCTACTTTGCCTACCCCTAAGTCTGGCTCTGTAAATAGTATTTTGGCTGAGGGTTGCTGTGTTGTAAGCCAATCTGATGAGCTCTTGAACTGAGTGAAAGGCTTTGTAGTGGCATGCAACATGTAAAAATGTGCAGTTGAAATGTTGTTAAATACTCTTCTTAAGCATGAGGTTGTATTATTCCTAACTGGACAGTACTTACAATGACAGGATGAATACAAAAGTCTGAATGGAATTCAGTCACTGAAGCTTAAAGAATGAATTGTCTCAGTATAGGAATTGACACACATTTGAGATAAAGTTTAAGATGCAAAATATGAAGTTAAATATATGCTATTGAAAGACGAAATAAAACTGTTTGTTTGGCTGACTTTTTATGTTAGATCTCCACCAGAAATATTATAACTTTACAAAACTACGTGAAATAAATGTTATAGGAAATTTTTCTGTAAAAAGATGAGGACAAGAGTATTCTCTACTAAAGATGAAATTTATGGAAACTGGGACTAGACTGAGAGATAAATACAAAGATTGAAGCACACATTTAAAAGTCAAACATGATGCTTCTCTAAATATAATGAATTATAAACAATATTGCAAAATAACCATTCTGTATTCTCATTAGAAATTCAGGATAACAACATGTGAAGATCACTTTCCTTAAACTTTCCAGTCAATTAATACAATAAAAACACATAGATAATCACAAATCGATGCCCACTAAAGGAATGTTGCAATTTCAAGGTACAGGCTTACAGTGGTTAAGACTGAACTGTCACAGACAAGAAAAAGTCAGAAATATTACATGCATTTTGAATACCACAGAAATATAATGATAACTTCTGACCAGAGTAAGCTATGTGCTTAGAGAATAACTCAAAATCAAACAAGCTATCAGTATAGCTAATTAACTATACCCTTTCTTAAATTTCTACTAATACTAATTAGAATGCATTGTTTCACCAGTTGGGTACCCTCTCTTTTAGTGATATTTTTGGCTATAGTTACAGAAGACTAGGTATGACAACCAGGCAGCCCAAGAAAAGGTTTTAAAAATTGTACATAGCCTTTTACAGCACCCTTTCTTTCACCTTCATGAGAACAGAAATATAAAATATATCTGTCCATTCAAGGAACATAAGTATATATATGGTTATAAATTATATAAACTTTAGTTCTGTTGACACAAATTAAAGTTTTTAAGTTGAAAAATATCACCTTTGCATGATGTAAAGCCAGTCCACAATATGAAGCAAATGTGGCAAAGGCTTCTTCATCAGCTTTTGTGAATGGTCCACCTTCTTTGTTTACCATTTGAACAACACCAATTATACTATGAAAAGAGAAATCTGTAAGCTTCAGGCAAACAATACTTTCTTTTAATATTCTTTCTTTTACAACAATGAAATTTCCATTAAGTTTAATAATAAAAACATGTTGAAGCTTGGTTGACAACTATACTACATTAATAAGCTACTTTCTTGTGTGACTAAAACTTCTAGAATTTTTGCTAAAATTAACCAATTTTAGGAAGATTTTAATTTGAAATTTTCCAGAAACCTTCATATTCAACAAATACACATTTGGCAATAATCACCATGCTAGTTAAGAAGAACAAGATTAATGAGAATAACAGTTTATAAAAAACACACTTCTTTGTTTGTTAGAAAGATGAGATATAAAATATTTCTTTCTTTCTTATGGTTATGGTATGTGAACATTAACATTTTGTTCATTACAAAATTAATATAAAACACAAAACTATTATTATAAAGATGAATAATAAAACAAAATCTCCTGTTTCTTATGAAAGTACCAAGTGTGACCCATTGGCAGCTTCCTAGACTATGGATCTATGGGTCCATTTTTTGCATCCCTTTACATCCATAGAAAAATTCCACTTTGGGTGCATTATAGAGGTGGCAGCCAGATCCCATTAGTTGGTCAAGGTTAGTGCTCAAGAGGTGGTGATTTGTGCTGTTGACTAGCTCCTTACTCTCCAGTCAAGCAGTTTTCTGTTTGTAAAGTGCTTTTCAAGAGAGTTATGAATACTTTGTGTAATTTTACCATTAGGTAACTGATGTAAAATATGTTTTTTATGACCTGAGTGTATAAATATTTTGGGTTACAGAGAGCTGTTATACACTTTTCCCAAAAGTGATAAATTTTTTGTGCATGAAATGCCAAACAATATCAAATGGTATTTTCAATATGTGGCTCTCCACCACGAATTTAATTCTGCTGTGGTTGCCATGTGGCTTGCTAACTTGCATATTCAAAATAATTTCCATATTACATACTCAACCTTCGGTATATAGTGACTAGAACTCAGAACAATGCACAGTTGAGGACTTTACTGATAGAGAGTAGATCTCAGAACAATGTGCAGTTGAGGACTTTAATGATAGTGAGTACAGCTCAGAACAATGTGCTATTGAGGAGTTTACTGATGGTGAATACAGCACAAGACAATGTGCAGTTAGGGACTTTACTGATAGTAAGTAGAGCACAAGACAATTGGATGTTAGAGACTACTAATACTGAGTAGAGCTCAGAATAATGTGTAACTGAGGACTTATGAGTCTTGTGCTTGCTAATGTGAAACTGGTCTTAAACCATCAGAATTTGGCTTACCACTGTATTCTCAAATTATGAGGTTGTTATTTTTATTTTAGATATTCTGTGGTTCCAATGAAGATACGTTTATATAAGAGATATATTATTTGTTTTTTTATAAAGATGAACATATGTAGTATGCCTTATTTTGTTGTAATGAAGATAAGCATACAGAACAGATATCTCTTTTGTTTTTAACAAAGATAGGCATATAGAACAGACATCTCTTTTGTTTTAATAAAGATAGGTATACATTAAAAATTTATATGTTATAATGGACATGAGTATATGAATGAGATAGCTTCCTTGGTTCAAAAGAAAATAGCCGAATAGCCATGTATAATGGATAAAAAATATATAAAAAACTGTCATTAATAACAGATATCTGGCTTGTTTGTTATGTAAAGATTGGTAGAAGTAATACATTTTACTTGGTTCCAGTCATCATGAATGTAAAAACAATAACTTCCTAGTTTTTAATAAAGATGGGCATGCATAAAATATATCTTACTTCCTTTAATGAAGATGAACATAAATAACAGGTACATTTGTGATTCTAACACTTTTACAGTTTAGAATATGTAACAGAATATCATATTTACAATGAAAATAGAATTGATATCATACTTGGTTTTTTATAAACATGGGTATAAGCAACAGTCATCTTTCTTGCTTCTAATGAAGATGGAATCCATAAAAGATATCTGAATTTTTCTAATTAAAAGAGATTCCATACCTGATATTTTACTTGATTCTAATGAAGATTGGTATGCAGATCAAATAGTTTACTTGTTTCTTATATAAATATATGGACATAGATAACAGAAATGTGCTCAGTTCTAACAAAGATGAGAATAAATATGAAATACCATATTTGTTCCTTATGAAAATAGCATAGAAAACAAGTATCTTATATCTGAGTTGTCCAAATAGTAACCCATGAGCTAGTTCTGACCAACCCAGCAGTCACACAGCAAAAATGAAAAATAAGCAAATAAAAATGAAGCTGAAATACAGCATATTTGAGTAGTGTCTTTGACTTTGAGGTTTAGTTGCTTAATGTTTGTTACCATTTACTATATTACTCTGCAATTTAATATCAATAAACTTGAATAATATCATTATACACACATTTTTTATCACTAATAACTAGTATCCAGCCTCTGAAACTGCACTCAAAATACTATGTGACCCATCACTGTAAACTGGACAAACCTGACTTAACCAATTCTTATGAATGTGGGTATACATACGATATATTCAAATTTATTTTAATTGGCATGAGCATACACAAATACTTACTTGGATCTAATGTACACAAACTTAAATAAACCATACATCACTTGGTTCTAATGAAGATGGACTAAATTAAAAGATATCTTAATTGATTCTAATGTAGATATATTTACAAAAAATAATCTTATATAAAGGATAACTGTCATATTTCTCATGAAGATGAACATACAGAAAATATGTTTTAGTAGTTTCTAATGAAGATGGACAAACAAAACAAATATCCTGCTGTTTAATTCTTGTAAATATAGATATCACTAAGAGATATCTTACATGTTTCATCTGGAGTAGGCATATGCAACAGATATGCAAAATACTAACTAAAATTATGTACAATGTTAAGCAGTTGCCCACTAAATAATATTTATTAAAAACAAGCATTAAGATAGGCATATGTAACAGATATTTTATGTAGTTCTAATGAAGGTAGACTTATGTAATACAAATATAACTTGGTTGAATCTAAATAACTGGTGGGTGTATTCACAACTTTGACAAAAGTTATACAAGAGATATTTTCTAATATTGAAATATTAAATATTAATATTCTAATTTTGAACTCATAGACTAGAGGAAAGGCAGCTAGTCAACAGCACTTACAACCAACTCTTTAGCTACGATAATCAAATAGTGGGGTTTGACCATCAGTCTTATAATGCACCCATGGTCCCAAGTCACATATAACTAATATCTTATATATGTATCTAATAAAGATGAGCATACATAACAGATATCTTTTTGAATCTTATATAATCTTTACTAACAGATATTTGAACTGTTTTTTATGATGGCAACACACACATAATAGATATTTGTCTTGGTTCTTATAAGGATGAGCATACACAGTAACTTACTTGTTTCTTATGAAGATGGGCATACACAACAGATTGTGTGTTTTGTATCCTGTTTGTTGATCTACAGTTCTAAAGGAATTGCAAAAAAAGAAAGACATATGCCATTAACTGTGTGAATTTATTGTCTGTTTCTATCAAGTGTAAAGCAGAGAAATATGATTTCTAAGAATATATTATTCAATTATTCCAGTAGTGAAATATCAGCATTGCTTTATTTTTGATTTGATGGTATACAAAAAGACAAGAAAATTGTATTATGGATTCATTATATGATTCTTCTTATAACTAAAGTTGATAATTTTTAAACTTATAACTTTATGGTTTGATGACTTCAAAGTAACTTGCTGATAAACATTTGTAAAACAAAAGTATGCAGCTTTAGTGTCATACAATATAAAAATAATCAAAGTAATATATACATATAATACTATACTGTTTATTGGTCAGAGCATTCTGAAATCTGAGAATTCATAAATTATGACTTATTGATGAAGAAAAATTCTTATCATGATACTACAGAACATAAACATTAAAATTACATATCAAATAGAGAAAAAGAAACATACTTTTAGAGTTAATGATGTAAGGTGAAAATATTTCAAGTACCTTGCAATGCTTGCAATATTTCATTGTAAATAACCCCACAAAATTTGAACATTTCTAAAGTATATAAAAATCCTTCAACTTCAGTAATATCCAGATTTAGAAATAAACTGGTAACTTTGTTAAAAAAAGGGAAACTTTGAGGGTTTCTTTTTTTCACCTGTTAAATCTTTCATCATTGTAGGCATTTGAAATATTCAGAGATTCTCCTGTTAGAGCTACATGGCCTGCAATTCCTTTCCCAATTGGAAATCTAAATAAAGAAATGGAACAAAATGCAGTAACTTGTCACCAATAATTCTGAATAATAAATAAGAAGTGAACAGAATACTAGTATAAATTGCAGCCCGATTTGTTACTTCTCTCGGATTGACGAGTTAAGGAACGTATCTGCTAGTTCATGAGATAGATGCATGATGTCACGCTTGACCTAGTGTTTGGAGGATGCCTTGAGGCTGCTATGTAGAAGATATATTTCCACATTTTGATGCCTGTTTTCTGATTGGTCAGTTGCAGAGAAAATATACTTTGTATATCGAACTTTGGGACTTTTGGTGGGAGATTCACTCCAACTATGAAGAAGAAACTTTGTTTCTTGATATGAGAGTCAGTACTTGGAGTGAAAGTCCTGTCGTTTCTTAGTACTTTCTTTTTGTCTGCTGATCATGCACATTTTATCTTCAATTTGACTTCAAGTTCATCCAGTTTTATTTTATTTTAATTATGTTTTCTCAGTGTGAAAGTCATGGAACACAACTTTATGTGAAATAAACAGTGTTTAGCTGTATTTGTGAAACTTGTTTTTCTCTTCTGCACTTGTTCTCACATTAACATTCCATCCAGATAAACCTTCAAACCTCTTGTTATATGCAGGGTGGGGGTGGGGTATGGTGGTTTCTTGCACTTATTTCTGGTTAGATGATATTTGTTAAAGGTATCACCTATTGTGCCTTTCAATTTCTTCTTTGATTTAGAGTGGATTTAGGGATATATTAGGTATCTGGGTGATTTCCAGAACTCAAATCACTCAGATAATTGATGAAGCCCAGTTAACGAGATGAAGATTAAGACTGGGAAACTGATGATGAGTGTTCATTCCCAAAATTCATCTCATCCAGAGGAATGAGCCTTTATAAAGAACAGATCAAGCTTTTAACTATTCTCTTGCTTACAAGGAAATGACAGAGAAGTTTCAACAAAATACTATAGATACAACAATATTTTTGTTTGAAATACTTAGGAAAGAACTGTTAGAGATTACTACTTGTCTTCTGATCTCTTGCAGTATATAGTAAAAATAGAAATGTCAAAAATAGAACGAAACACTGAACAATAATTATTTAGTTATGAGACTGTATGTTGATCTTAGTTATATAATTTACCTGAACCATTGTAAATACCATGTAATATTCTTCAGCTAATGCTATTTTTGTGAGATTAGTTTAAGAAAATGTAAGGAGACAAAAAATAAATTGATTCATAAATGTCTCTTTACATTTTTCATCCAATATTCTACTAAACTAAACTAAAGACAAAAGAAAATGTTATTCATTGAAATAATCCAAGTTATCTTCATTCATCAGATTTCAACATGTACTAATCCACATGAAACTATCATCCTTAAAAACCTGTAATTATTTTTGATTCTCAGTATTATGGTTCATCAATTACATTAAAAATCATACTTAGTTCTAATCATTATACAACATAAAAGAGTGCCACTTTCACTACTCTATCTCACACAAGATATACTGAATGGTAAAACTGAATATATTGTATTTTATAGTTTAAGCCTATAGTGCTTTTAGTAAAATACTGCTTTTGGAAAGTTAGAAAACCACTTCTAAGGATGTACATCATAATACAGTCTCTAACAATAATTTAAGTGGAGTCTTCAACTAGCAACATAGAATAGTTCACTCAAAACAAATTTTAATAAAACTTTAGTTTAATTTAAGAAAATTAATGTACAGCTTATTCTAAAATTTGAAAGTAAGCATTTTTTCAGCATTATAATATTCAGGTACCTTTCTTTATTTAATTTAAGCAAATTAAATATTGTTATATTGGCTTTGAAAACACATAAAATATGTTTATAATTTATATGAACACTATATTTCACACCATGTAAGTTTACAATAAAAAGGTGTATACAAATACAAACAATCCTTGTGTTTTCATACCTGATTTCTTTTGATGCTTCTAAAATGGCTTTAAATGAGCCATCGTCAAGCTCTCCACTAACATCAAATATCCTAGCATATAGTTCTTTGGAGTGTCCATCTACTAGGAAGAGAGAAGCCCTGTCAGCATTTACAAGCTTCTGTGCAAATGTCTGGAAAAGAAATACAAATTACAAATTCATTAATCTATGTCCATTAATTGTGTAATGATATATATATTGTTATGAGGACTAAGTAAGATAGTTGTGTTTTATTATAATTTACAATAAAAATATAAGTGGAGAATTTAAAACTGTTTCCAGTATTATACATCTTAAGGAGTTCTTATGAGTTCAATCAAATAATATCTGGCCACCTTGAGGTTGACTGGGGAAAAGCTGATGTGGTATAAATGTTAAATATGAGTATAATATTTCTTCACTAATTCCTTTATGGGTAAAGTTCTATTTTCTAAACACACACAAAAAAGTATTTCTTATAGTTTAGGGTATGCATTCTGTTACAGTGTAAATAAATAAACATACATATGACTAGGTAAGATATTGTCACTCATATTTCAATATCTATTGTCAGGTTAACAAACTGGTATAACATATTTGCAAAAATTTACAGTGTTAATGGATGCTTGTGATCATTAATCAATCATTGGTCATTAGTGGACTATTTACAATAGTTTAATAAACAAATAATTGGTATTACACCGCTAGTAAATGTGTTGGTTGATTTATAGTCACAGACCTAGTTTAATTAGTGAAAATTAGTATTTCATTAATAGCTAATATGTTGGTACATCTGAATGATACTATGTTTTTGAAATCTTGGATTTTTGATACATACAAATCTTACTTAATACTTGTAATCTTGACCATTTTTATTTTAATTCCAATGGCACCAATTCCTTCTTCGTGTTAAAAATTTATTTCTTAATTATCATGATATTTTGTATAATTTGACTTTCTGAAAGTCCTAAACTTTACTATGACTTATTGAACATACTCCAACCTTACTATGACTTTGTAGTTTTGACGTTTTTGAACATACTTCAACCTTATTAAAACTTAGTAATCTTGACTTTTTAACATATTCCCAATTAATCTTACTTTGCCTTTGTAACTTTGTTTTTTCAAACATTATATTCAAACCTTTCTATGATTTTGTAACTGACTTTTTGAACATATTCCTACCTACTATGCTTTTGTAACCTTGCCTCTTTTGAATATATTTCCAATTAACCTAACTTTGCTTTGTAATTTTTGACTTTTTTTTGTTCATTATATTTAAAGATTACTATGCATTTGTAACCTATTACAACTATACTCTGACTCTGTCACCTTGACTTGTTGAACATATTCCAACCTTACTATGATTTTATAGCCTTGATTTTTGAACATATTCACACTTTACTAAACTTTTGTAACTTTCTGACTTTCTGAATATTATATTTAAACCTTACTAAGAGTTTACAACCATGACTTTTAAAATGTATTCAGAACTGACAATATGACTCAGTAATTGTAATCTTAACCTTTGAGGACATTTTAAGCAATAACTTTATAGCATTAAACTTTAGAACACATTCATACTATATCAAAGCTTTGTTACTATGGTATATAAACATACCATGCATTTTCTACCATCTTAGTTTAACATAGTATTATTCAAAGTTTCTAAGCTATTGTGTGTATTTGTGCAGTTTTCACATAACACATGGTTAAAGTCATTAAGCTGATTTCATTCTAGCTGCCTTTGTTCTTTTATCACTCTCTGGAGATAACACCTGTTCTGCCTATGGAATGTGTGGCTATAATACTGCACAGGTGCAAGAATGTAAACAGCAGTGTTCTCCAATGGTAGGTCAGATTATATTTTCAAGTTACAATCTTCCTTATGTTTGAATGAAAATGGCCTATCATGTAGTTAATGCTTGACATTCTTGGTAAATATAATGTTGCCTGTTAAATAAGGAACTTTAGATTTAAACAATCTGGTAGGAATTATCATCAAATGCAGCTTGGAGAATGGACAGCTCAGACCTAGTAAAACTGAAAGTCCAGCATCTAAGCAGGTTGGTGTTTGTACTATTTAGTAAAGATCATTCATTGTGTTTACACTGTCTAAAGTCTCTATATTTCCTTCTTACAACCTCAGTCAAAATTACAGAACTCAGAAATATTTCACAAATCTTGTTATACCCCCTGTCATTCAAGAGACCTATATCATTGTTCTAAGGATAATCAGCTTGATCTGTTCTTTGGAACACTTTAAATAATATTGTACAGTGTTCAGTGTCTGGGCATTCAACAAAAAGGCATGCTATCACCAACTGGCTAGCTAATCTGCTAAAGTTTTATAGCTGCTTAACAAGGTAGTGTTGTATCTTGCATCATAATGATCTAGTATGTGATCATACTATCTGGATTTCTAAAACTTATCAGCCAATTCACTTTAATAGTGAAGTCCATACAATCAATACAAGTAGTGACAGTAACGTTTGACAAATACTACAGTGGTAAGTGGACCCTTCTTTGTCATATAGTATGAATGTCCAGGTGTCGTGTCATATGGCTTGCTTATGTGGTTAGATGATCCATCTTGTGCTTAACAAAAGTACATCAATTTCATTATCACTAGTTTCAGTATCTAAGATAAATGGTTGATAAAGATGAATCAGCACCACTGCTTTGAACAAACCACAAACTTCAAAAGCTGACATGTCTATTCATGTTCCTATTTTCACAAAAAGTATATATTAACCTTATTCAGTACAGAGAGTGGTGCAGCTACCTTGAAAAACTGACCACAATAATACAATGTGAAACCTAGAAAGCTGTGTATTTGTTATTTTTTCTTGGGCTTGAGTCAGCCCCTGACAACCGCAGTGTTTGTAAGTTTAGCAGACACTCCATTCCTACCCAATATATATCTGAGAAACTCCATTTCCATATGTATTAATGCACATTTTCATGGTGTCACTTCAAGCCTGCATCCCTGATGTACCGGAGTATGATTCTGAGGTTTTCAGCTGGGGCATAAAATGAGTGTAGATCAATATGTCAGCCATATAGATGAGACATCTCTCCCATTTTAGTCCTCTAAGTGTAAGCTCAATAAGCTTCTTGAAAGTGACAAATGTATTACACAGACCAAATGGCATGATGAGGAATTTACACTGTCTTTCTCAAGTGCTGAAAGCAGTTTTGGGTATACTTTAAATTATCCCATTTGACCTGCCAATAGTTACATTTAACATATTGATCAAACTGGATCTTTCAATGCATCCAGGCATTTTCACATGCATGATAATTGAAAGACATCTATGGATGTTACCAAATTCCCACCTAAAGTTCACACAAATCCTTAATATTCCTTCCTTCATTTTGACAATGACTACTGGAATTATCAACGACTTTTTAAAGGTTGTATTATAAAGATTAACTCCATTTCAATAGCAGTAACATCCCTGGTTCTGTAAGGAAGCCTGTGTGGCAGTTTTGTTGGATGCTCATCTTGTCAATCTAGGTGATGACTTATGGTTACTGTCCAACCCAATCAACTATCTAGTCTCACAAATAAACCAGCAAACTCCTTGAGAAGTTTAGTCAATTTATGTTCTGCAGTAACTGGGATGCTGTGCATGTATTATCAGATGCTGTACAGTAGTTTTCATGCTAACTACACAGCTGGTTTGCATTATTTCAGCCTTGATCATCACACCAATGGCCATTCTAACTGGATGCTAAATTGCTGAATCTCAGTGATTACAGACTAACATTGGTAAACCACAACCACTTGGACATATAACTGTTTGAGCAAGTGTAACCTGCTTTCCACACAACTATTAACATTCTATCATTGCATCAACAATAATGGTCCAACTGAATGAAGAAATGCTTGGTGCTTTAAATACTTTTATAAAGATAAATTTTGATTGATTTCATGAGTTATTCATCTTGTTTGTACATTATTGTTTTTAAAGTTAAATTTGTACATTTCACATGTAATTTGGCAAAAGTCATAAAGCAACCTTTAGGCTAATTATATGTAATAGCCTATATAGTCTTACCATAATTTTAACAATCACAGAGTCCATGGAGATCATGTCTTGAAAGATGGACCTAAAATAAATGAAGTTCATTCTTTTAAACTTGTGTCATGTTACTTTTCCAATAGCCCTCAGTGTCAATGTTTAAAGTACATTATCAAAATGATGTTATTTAATGATATAAAGTCTACTGAGGCCAGGGTCATACAAATTTAATGAAATTACATTCAGCTTCAAGAAGACTGAAGCAGCAGAAAGTGGATTAATACATAGATTATATTTGTAGATCCACTTCCAATTTATAAATCACAGTATTTATAATATTAGTTTAATACAAATAACAGTTTTTTACTGCTTATAAAATACAAATATTTCATTTATGGAAATTTTTCTCTAATGCAAGCAAATTTACACATGTATAAATTATGGTTACAGACAAGTATTTAACTGTTCCACTTACTTTGTTTAAATATGGTTCTGTATGTTTTTTGTTAATATAAGAATTGGTAAACCTTGAATTTTAACTCCAAAAGCTTGCACAGTTTGGGTAGTACATTGGTCAGGATTATGTTTATTACAAAAACAACAAGCACACTTAGATTTATTATTTAATAAACTTGTCACACTTGAAAATAAATCTTCATTCAGACAGGATAGATTTATATACATCAAGCATGCCATGACTTCTTCCAAGCATTATGCTGTAACATCTTATCAACATCAGTAACTGTTACAAGTGAAGATTTCCCTATAATATTAATTTTCTTTCAAAAAGTAAGTTATGTTTATTTTATATATATATATATATATAATGATTCATTTGAGTTATAAATAAAAACAACATAATACTGAGCATAAAAACTTTTAATAGTGTGTGTGATGAAAAAAATCCATATTAAATTTCAACTAAAGAAACTGAAGTGAAACATTCATGTTTTAGTGTATTTAAAACTGCAACTTACCTGACTACAGCCAAAAGGAAGTTGTTCAGTTTGCGCTGACGTGCCATGTTACTGTACATCTTGAAATATAAATATTTAATAGGTCTCACTTTATATCAAAAACATGTATTGCAGATACTATTTAAACAAACAATTAGAAATGAGTAGAGTATAAGAAAAAGCTGAAATGCAGTGATGTATTTATAAAAGATATATATATGTGATGTTTCAAAGTATGAAGGTTTCTTAATTTTTCACAGATATAGTGCCACATTTTGGGTTAAAGTTCATGTTTGTTTTAAGAAAGGTAAATGATACTTAATCTTTACAAAAAACAAAAACAAAACACTATCCACTATTTCTCTCTTCTTCTTTACACTTAATAAATATTAGTAACAAGATAATGTTCAACCCAGGAAATGTCTTTGCTTCTAACACATTCCTGTAAGTACGAATCACTTGGTTTAAAGATGATCTTAATTACCTTTATTGTATACAAGAAATATTTCATACAGAAAAATTTTTTAGTATGCACTCATAAGTTTCCTAATAGATAGTATTCAGACCTAATACCACAAGTGTATTCTGCTTAATTATTTTTTATACAATCTTATGATCATACATGCCTCAGCATAATGAAGAGCAATTCCTCCCCACACTAGATAACTGTTGATAACCTGCAACAAAAAAATAAGGTACATGTTCATTATATAGTTAAAGTATTTGTTAATTAGAAACTACTATACACCTGTTAATTAAACATTACAACTATATTTTCTGAAAACGCCTATTAATTATACATTATTACTAAATCTAAAACAGGCAGCTGTTAAATATAAATAACTACTATATCCATACAAAATATCTGTTAACCATTGATCATCAATATATATATATATATATACTTTCAATTTATATTAGTATGAGAAAACTGATATTTAAAGGTGTAGACAACTCATTGGATTACTTATCTCTTTTATTTCTTTTCATGGACGGTGCTTTTAGAGTTTCAACTGCTCTTTTAAGCTTCAAATATTATTATTATTTTTTTTTCAGAAATGTAAGTTCTTATAATATTCATGGTTAGTGTATATCAATAATATGTTGGTATAATTTGAAGTAACCTTGACGTTGATTCACAAGTTATTATGCATTTTATTATTTTTATCCACTACAGTTGTGAAGTCTTACACAAACCAAGAATACCGTTTCTAAAATATTCGTATACATAGGCGGGTCCAGCATAAGGCATGGCTGGTGTGCATCCTCACTCACGCAAAAAAGAAAAGAAAACTATTGTTCTTGGAGTCCCTGTTCATAACCTCTTGTCACTTAAAGCGGGCTCTTTCATTGCTGGTTACATTAGGTTACGCCCCCTTCTGAAAATCATGGAAGTCCATTGCATATATAACCCCCCCCCCCCCCCCACCCGTGGCACAGCGGTATGTCTGCGGACTTACAACGCTAGAATCCGGGTTTCGATATCAGTGGTGGGCAGAGAACAGATAGCCCATTGTGTAGCTTTGTGCTTAATTACAAACAAACTAACAAGCGTATATATATATATACTGGTAATATCATTGGTGTTTGTAAAGCAAGGCTTTTTTTTTAACGTCAGTTATGATAATTTTAATTAAAGTAATAACTTTACATATAGTCAATGGTAAAATAAAATATTTAAAACAAAAGTGGCAAAAGGCGTCCACGAGATGTAAGCAATAGTACGCAACATAATCAAGAAGACTCTGCACCAGAAAAAGCGACATAAGTCACGTGTGAAGAAGATGGTTTCGCGACATATCCGTTCAACCGCCTAATTTCTTAAGCAGCTGGAGAATAAAACGTGAATTCATGCCATCCCATACAAAGACACATCGGTCAAGTTGCCTGATCCAGCACCTATAGATTTCTGTGTGATAATATCCCGTCATCCTAAGACATATTACGGAACACAGTAAAGAGGAGGAATGTGTCTTGAATATGACAACCTCACATCGGAACCTACGATGCAGGATTATTGTTAAGATGCACGGTAGCCACAAAGAGCACGACCAGACATGGCGACGTAAGCTCTAACAGCGTGGTAAGACTCCAAAATCGTTTAAATATGGTGTACACAAAAGTAATTGACTAATAAATAATTCCAGTAAGATTGTAATTTACCTTTGTTTAAGTCTGTAAAAATGGCACAGATGTAAATACTATGTATTTTTTAGTATACACATTGACTAACTTCTATAATTGGGCAGAATTATACATTTATTAGGAGTTAAAAAAAACATTACACAATAGATGGCTAAAAAATGTACTAAACTATTTCCTTCTTTTCGCTACAGTAGGTTTGGAAACTTTAGTTGAAGCAGAGAAAGCTATGCCAACTAACAATGAAAAGTACACAATATACAATTAGAAAAATGAAAATATAAGCATAGAGTGTTAGCTTTTATCTTTCATACTGAAATGCACGTGGTGTGTCAAATTATCACCATTTTACACCTCTGATTCTTTGTGTTTTTGTTTGTTTCTTAGTTTAACAGCTAGTCCTCGAGAAAAGGCATCCGTGTTTGTCTCACTTTCCGAATATGATTAATTGCGCTTTACATAATTTTCCCCAGTCAAAAGAAATATATTATAATGCTTAAGTGTAAATCAATTTCTAGGTTGAAAAGTAGTTGTGTCTACACACAATATGTATATAAAATACGATTTTGGTCATCGATTTTTTTTTGTATTAGGATTTAAAGAATGGACACACGACGTAAAAATATATGTGCACTGCAGAAAACATTAACGTGTAAATGGACACCACAGATCTCTAACTGATTTGGCTAACATAGTTGTCCTTTCGAACATTTGGCACCGAAAACACGATGCTCAGTACGGTGCTAAATATAGTGGTCCTTATAAAGAGGAAATCAAAGCGTTTTTGGCCGGGGTGTGGCTGGTAATTCCCATAAATTTTCAGCTGAGCAGGTGTTCACGCGATTACAGGCAGACCACTTAAATGAGTCCTAACTTCCATCAGTTTTTGATATAAAGAGCTAGACGACCCAAATGTTTACCAAACAGCAACAGCAGCGACAAATATTTTTGCCAGTTGTTAGGATAGCGCTACCCAGCAGGACGGGATGGTGAAGTTTTTGCCAGTGACGTAACACGTATTGAAACTAAAGCCAGTAATATGGTTATAAACTTGGAAGTATGCACTGTTAGCACCATGCTGCCAAATGAAACTTGTACTAGTACTAACAATGTTGATTTGTCTACACCAAGTTTACACGTCGAGGAATACAAGGATTTCTACTTGACTGTTTCATAGAGCTATCGGGAAAATGCAATTTTTTGAAGTAGTCATTTGGTTGACTAATATAGCTTTCATTCATATTGGTACTAAACACACTATTTTTAATTGTTTTTGCTTATACTAGCATAAATTTGCATGTTTTGGACTCAAAATAACATAAAAAGCCTCATGGTATTTAGATATACTCCATTCTACATCTTACTTCTCTATCTAGCGCTTTCAGGTTATAAGTATCTACCAGTAAATGTGACGACCACCTAAGAAGAGGTCCAATAATATTTCAATGACAAAAAGGCGCAACAAAAATTACGATACCGATCTTCTCAACATAAGTGCTTTAGAATCAAATAAAATAGCTCAAAAATGAATTTTCAAAAGTCGGTTAAAAACACGCAAAAAAGCTTCACTTTTCGCGAACCGGCTGTTGAAAAAAACCCTTTAAAACATGGAGGGGAGGGATTCCTACGGTTATACTGCTATCAACAATTATATTCAGTGTGAGGGGCTTCTCAGTATATAGTATTTTAAGTACACATAATACATACACGACTGTAATCGCAGTTACTCAAATGGTAGTCGGAAGTCATTACTACATATATAAAAAGGTGACATTTGTTGCATAAACACTCGTTTTTAGAGTTTACAAAATAATTGAAAAATAACAATCAACTACAGAACCTCTTCGTCTTCCTCGTGAAATGGGCCATCTTCTGATTTTTTATACAATTCTAGGACCCCTATAAAAACAATGAAACAAGTTATTTATAACAATACTATAAGATGAATAGCAACCTAAAATGAATTACATATGATTAGAAACTTTAATGCCCGGCATGGCCAGGTGGATAAGGCGCTCGACTCACAATCTGAGGGTC